TATTTTATGAAATGTGGAAATATTTATACCATACATAAGACATGCAACTCATGCTCCCAATGGATTCATAAGAAAAGTCCAGTTTAGTGCAAACTTATGAATCAGTTTTGGCTATTTATAAAATTTTCTAACAAATTTTCAAGTTTAGTAAAAGTTGTATTTTGTTTACCGATTGCATGAAAAACTTAATAATTGTGACCAAAATGTCTAAATTAAGTGTTGTGTTAAAACATATATTTATGATAATATTCAAATCTGTGGTCCAATTCTATACATACATATCGCTTCCCATCTATTATATAACCCAAAGTCCACGTAAAACTCTAGACAAATGTGTGTTCAAAAGGGCCCAACAGTTAGACCCGTCGGACCCGCACTCGCCATGGGTTCGAACCCAAGAGACCCGGCATCACGTGTTGGCCTCCAGTGGATCCCTGTCCGAGGCGAGCAAAATGATGCGGCGCCTGTACCCACTGGACAGTCCGTGTATTGGCTACCGGAAAGTGCTCGAAGAGCAGGTGTGCACCGATAGTGAGGGCAATGCCGTACGACTGGACGGAAAGGTGTTAAGAAAGTTTCGGTTGAGTCCATACGTGTGGATGACTTACGGAGAGGTGTACGACAAAATTGATAGCATTTCCCGGGGAATGGTATCCAATGGGTTTCAACGTAAAGATAAGATTGTGATTTTGTCGGAGACTAGCGCTGATAATCTCATATTTCTACAGGTATTTCACCTTTATTAAATTAATTAATTTTACTAGTTACTGTTCCTGTGTAATACAATTTTTAATTGTCCATGATAGGTGTGTATGAATATTGGTGCAGTTATTGTCACGGTTTTTGCCACACTTGGTGACGAGGGTAAGTTTAAATTGTTTTTGTTTTCTAATAGTGTTTTCTCTGATATACTGTATACACACATCATATTTACTGTAATTGTTAAATACACACAAATTGTGAACAAATAAACAATAACTACATTGAAATGTTGTGTAATGTTTGCAAAACAAGAAACAATATATTTATCACGGAAAGGTATTTTTGAAATATCCTACTTATTAATGAAATGATTAATTTGTGTGTTCATTCAGTATTGTCTATTGCATTCACAATGACATCAATTCTTAACTTTTTTAGGAAAGTTTTCAAACTTAGTTTTTTAAAAGTACAATATGTGGCATGAAATAAATAGTAGACAAATGAGATAAGTAAATGATTAATTAGTTATTATTTAAAAAGAATAGCAGCATATATGGCATAATAATATTATGCCAAATACAGTAGAATTGAATTTATTTGAAAACAATATAATAAA